TTTTAATGGTACTCATAGGCATACGCACATACATATATCGAGCTTAAGAAATCACGCATGAATGCGCAGCAGCACAGTTGATATGGGTCGATGCTGAGTCTTAAGTTCACAGCCTGAAAGCCAGCAGTCAGACAGACCTAAAATGTGTTCTTTTTTTTATACACATTCGCAATTTTAGTTAAAATACGCGAGTAAAAATTCAAAATATTGCTTGACGAGCGTCGATCCACACACCAAAATTTACTTTTAAGTAAAACAGAATTAAGCTGAAAGCAGCAAGCAACATGAAATGAATAACAAAAAACAAAAAAAAAAAACCTGTCGTAAACAAGAAATTATAACTACAAAGCAATAACAGCAACAACAAGCGCCCAGCAAGACAACAAAATAGACCACAAGACAGAGGCAAACAGCAAACAAGAAGAATGATCGAACTGGTGGAACAACTTCTCGGTTACGTCGCGATGTTGCCATGAGCGCAAACTGTGCTTTGCGGTGAGAAGGGATAACACAACAAAACCAAAAAAACAAAAACAAAAAAAACAAGAAAACTTAACTAGTAAATGGAACAAAGGTAAAGACAAATCATACGACAAACGGACAACTTTTCGAAAAATCTGTTTGAATCAGAAGAGCGCAAGCGCGCGTTTAAGCTCAGCGTGAGGCTAAGCCATAAACTGGATACAGCTGGAGCTAATACATGTGTATGTACCTACACCCATGGTCATAATAATAGGTACCAAATTCGAAATGATATTGTTTGCAATTTATGTTTATTTAGTTATTTTTAATAATTTGCATTTAAACTATTGTTCGATAACATTTTCAATTTTGTACCTATTATTATGACCATGAGTGTATATACCTACATTAGGCATATGACTTTTTTCTAAAATTCAATATAAATAACTATGAGAAGCCGAGGAACAAACAAAAATAATGTTTTGTCAAAATTTGCTAGAAAATGTACCGCAAGGGACTACGAAAAAATATTTTTTTCTGAAAAAAACATAAATTTAGGGGATTCACAGGACGTGTTAACCTTCGTAAAATCTTAAGCTTAACATATTTTTATTTTAAATACCGGTTAAAATGGTTTTAGGGGGGAATAATTATATACTTTTTTATCAGTTTAAAAACATTTCGGTGTAGGTAATAAGAAATTCTCTAATACCACTTTAATCATTATTTAAAAAAAAAAATGTTATGCTTAAGATTTTGCGGCGGTTACCACGACTTGTAAGTCCCCTAATTATATTTACAAACATACACATACGAAAAATTTCGTGTCAACCGACTTATGACAGCGATCGAAAATTGGTTGGTATAGTTGTTTTTATTTTCTGTAATTTTTTTTCTTAGAGCTCCCCCCGGTAAATATTTTTTACTAAATTTTGATAAAACGTTATTTTTCATGATTCCTCATCCTCTGCTCAAAGGTACATTTAATTTTACAAAAAAGTCATATGCCTAATGTACATGTACATACTTATGCTAGTAGAAGCTGAAGCTGTTGCCGGTCTACAAAGAGCTTATGCTGTAGAGAGTTGACTCGCTTAACCGCCAAAAGAAGGTGAACAGGCCACTAACGACGTTCATACCTACATATATGTGTAAGAAGCATAGTTGAGCTTCGAGTCGAATGCAAGCTTGAATGTGGCTTGCATGTGTACGTACCCGTATGCATCTTAGAGCAACACTACGGCAGGAAAAGGCAACAGATTGCAGAAAAAAAGTTTACACAACAAAGATAACAAAGTAGAAGTTATAACAAGCGAGAAAAAAATGAATAGCCCAAAACATAATATGTATGTACAACAACCTGACACACGATCGTCACAAAGGCGTACATACATACATTATATTATAGCTATACAAGTATATTAGGGTGGTCCTTAAAAATCAATTGAACGATTTTTTTCAGCCATAGATATCACATCTAAAATTTTGGTCCCGATTGGAGTCGGTTAAGGCGTGTCGCAAAGGGGTCAAAGGCCAGATGCCTCTATAATAATAATAATAATAATAGATTGGCGCGTACACATATGTTAGCGTTTGGCCGAGCTTCTCCTCCGATTTGTGGCATGCGCCTTGATGTTGTCACACAAAGCGGAGGGACCTACAGTTTTACGCCGACTCCGAACGGCGATTGTATTTTTATGAGAAGCTGTTTTTCATGGCAGAAATACACTCGGAGGTTTGCCATTGCCTGCCGAGGGACGACCGCTGTTAAGAAAAAACCTTTTTTCTATATTTTTGCGATGTTGCTTTGACCAGGGTTTGAACCCAGGCGTTGTGGAGTGGAAGCGCGCACTGCTTACCACTACACCACAGCCTCTCTGGACTCAAAAAATTAAAAATATAATTTTTTTCCCATTTAATACCCAAAAACGATACTAGTAAAGACGAGAATATCACATGTAAAGTTTGGCCCCGATCGGAGTCGGTTAAGACGACTTCATAGGGTAACCTGAACTTTGGCCCCTGCGCGACACGCCTTAACGGTATCCAATTGGAACCGAAATTTATATGTAATATACATATATGGCCGTGGTATTACCAATTGAGGGGTGAGACTGGAAAAAACTCGTTCATTTGATTTTTTAAGCACCACCCTAATGTATATATACGAGTACATAGTTGCTTCTGCGCCTATAACCACAAACATTTATACTTAGAGGAGTGAGTAGTTGGTTAAATGCGTAGATGCAAGCGCATGCGTTTACCTGTTGAGCATATAAATTAAATGTGTATGCGCCGGACAAAAGGGAACCATGACGAACGCAAATACGTACATACATACATACATAGTATGTATCTACCCAGCAGCAAAAATGCAATTGCATGGCAATGCCACCAACTCCAGAGTCGACTCCAAAGTAATGCCTTCGCCTTACAATATGCATGAATTGTTTCTCAAATTTAATCAATTTCCATGTATCAAATACAACATCAATTTTTTTCGAATTATTTTCATCGACTGACAGGCAANGTTTTTTTTTTTTTATTCTTAATTATGAAAATGTTTGGGTTTAACATTTAAACCGAATTGTTTAAATTCTAAACCCAACATATGTGCTCTCTTTTTTTTAAACTTGGAAGGTTTGTATTTGAAACTGAATTTAGTTTGGTCATATATGTAGTCCAAAAAGTTTAAAATTAAAACCGAAATTTTTAGCCGTGTAGGTAACACAAAACAGTCACAATATTACTCGACTCTGAGCTATTAATTCATTCAATTCGAATGTTGATAAAATCAGGGAAAAAGGTAGGACAGCGTTAATCTGTAGCAATAGAAAGACATAAACAAAGAAATAAGGAAACACACCATAACAGGCAATAAAACTGTTTCCAGTATTTTTAGCTTGAAAGCGAATATCTACAATTTTGATTTACTTGGCACAAGCTTGGTTTTGCCATAAGAAATATACATAAGACACTGGAATAACCGCAAGTGGGCAAGTGGGTGATTCAGATTTGAAGTTGTGAGACATCTCTCTCAAAAATCCATCCAAAAATAATCGATAAAATATGTATGTACAAATATACCGATAGACCGATAACAATTGTAGCAACAACAAACAAACAGTATCGATAAACAAATTAATATTATTTACTTTGTAACAATAAAATCGATAACAATGCCGATAAATGTATCGATAACTGTAACAATAACGACCACGATATAATAAGGATAAAAGCATCATTAAACATATAAATAACAGCGAGGATAAATATTGCGGAGTTCACATAGATAAATTTATCTTCGTTTAAAGTACAACAACGCCATTTATCGATAATAATAGCAATAGGAGTTTCCAGGAACGATTTCTCCTAGGTCACCGCCCGGCAACGTTTTGAGTGGCATTGGAGCTTGAGGTACATATTGAGGCTTAAAATTAGTTATATTAAAAATAAATTTAATTCAAGAGCGCTTTCTATTTTTTAACTCAAATTCAAATTTCCTAAGAACCACAGGGCAATGATGCCGTTGAGAGTTTTCCAAAAGTCGCAAAAAAGGGGTAATTGACGAAAAATGTAAAAAGAAAATATCGAGACAAGCTTTGCACAAAACAGGTTTGCAAACATACATAGAAATCGAGCTGCTGCAAGGAGATGAATTGCATTTCCTTTAAAAGTTTTAAGTGATGCATTTTTTCGTAATTACAGGAGAAAATATTTTTTAATTGCATGGCTATGTTAACGTTTCCTAAAAAAAATCTCTAAAAAAGGGCAAAAGTCGCACACAATTTTGGAAAAGGAAAAAAAAAATCAAAATTTTCAAGAAGTAAGGTCAAAGGGTATTGGCGCCAAAAAAGGCGAAACATTTAATCATTACTACAAGCCTCAAGCAAAGACCCACAAGAGGCAGGTTTTTCTTGGAACTTTTGCCTTGCATTTAGTATATATTTCAGTTCACATCAAAATGACAATAACTGCCGTCGATGTGCCAAAAACGTCTGTTCCGAGGAAATCTCCATGCGACGAGTTTTGAAGCGGATGCGACTGCAACACACACTGTGGGCGCACACGGGACGGATGTTTAACGGCAGACAGCTAAATGAGAGTCGTAGAAATCAGGCGCAGCTGGTTAATTGCACGGAGTTCTAAGAGAAAAAAAGGCAATAAGTAAACGGTAAGAGGCAAACAAACAAATAGAATAAAACGCGTATGCATGGACATAGACATAATGGCAGACCAATAGACGGAAAAGCAAAGAACTAATAAAAGAAGAGATGCACATAAAAAAATAGAGTTAAGTGGAAGGCTGACTGGACGCTGGCCGGATTGCGTCTTGTCGAATCAATGGACGGCCTGCGAAGCTAACAAATACATACTTAAATCAATACACTACACTTGGCCAACATTCGCACACGCGCACACACACTCCCGCCCATATAAAAATGCTGCATGGAAAGGTTTGTGGCTAAATAAGACACTCACTGCCAAGGAAGGCAAAAGCAGGCAAGTATACTAAATGAAAATAACAACAAACAAACCTTTTTGTTTTGATTCGTGCAGGATGGCGTCTTCGTCGTCAATAATGCTGCCGCCACCGACGCCGCCGCCGCTGCCGACGATTGTTGATGTATTGGTGGCTGAGTTGCTGAGATTGTTTTGCAACTGCAGCAGGCCACTGCCACAAGTGCTGGAGCTGGTTATGTTTTTCATGCAGCCAGTTTACGTGAAACGTTGCACAAAGAAAAAAAAAACAAAAACACAAAAGAAAAACAAGCAAACAAATTGCAAAATTTTCAGGTAGTAGTGCCTTTTGGGGAGCTGCTTATTGTATTTTAATTGATTTTTATTTCTTTTCACAGACGCTTTTACTTTTACTTTGACTTATTTAGTCGCTCTAATTTTAATTATTTCCGAGTGTTTGAAATCGACTTTTGAAAAGTTTTCGTTGCTTTTTTTTTTTGTAATTTAATTATTTTGTAAAAGTATTTGCTTTATCAAGTTGATTTCGACTTTTTTCCACGTTGTTTTTGAGGTTTTTTTTTTGTATATTAGAGAAAAATTTCGAACTTTTTTTTTATTTTTACAATCACTACTGTTAACACTTGGCACTTTTTTGCGGACTTTGCGTATTGTTAAGGCGAATTTTAATATTTATATGGCAGCACTTTATTTGGTATTAAACATATTTTTTGCGAAAATAAAAATAGTTTTTTCATAACAGTGAGCACTTTATTTTTGAATATCGTGAACTCGAATTTTCATGTAGCCTAAATATGGAAAAAGTTAAAAAATTTATATATACAACTTTAGTTATTAAATTTTCAATTCAAATTTAAAACTTTAAGCTATACACTGACGTTGCTCGCAGTTTTGAACTTAGTATTGCAGTTTTATTAGACTTTATTTTTACTTATTTTGTTTTGTTTTGTTTTAATATATTTTTTGGCGTATTTAAAATTATTTTTGCACGGGTAACGGATCAATCAGATAAGCCCACGCCCTTGTTTTCAGAAGCGTGTGGGTGAGCGAGTGTGCTTCGCCTATTTAACTTGTATTGTGGATTCGATTCGAAAGGAGTAATCACTTGATCAAGGATGCCGCGATTCGGGCCCTGATTATACACCCAGTACGGCTCACCTTAAAAGAGGTTGGCTACAAAATGAGACTAATTTAGGAGCCTTGGCTTTCCTAGGGAAAGACGGTTGCTGTGTTAGAGTTCTTAGACCTGGCATCCTTCAAAGAACTGATCGACACATAAATTTGGCTCTCTTCAACTTGGCGACCTCTCGTACAAACTTCCAACGACAGAAATGTGTTCCTTTTGAGATATGTATACCAATGTAATATGAAATAGAAAATATGGCTATTCCCTACAAGGATCTAATATCAGGGCATCAAAAAAAGTTTACATTTTTCCAATGCAGATCTATGATTGGAGGGTACTGGAGCAACCATCTTCCTTGGATTGCAGGTACTTTAGCCTTAAAGGGCGTCTTAAAATAGCAAACATTACCAGGTCCTCAGGCATGCCAGAAAAATTAAGAAGCGATGTATGCAAAGATTCTCGAATCACTTATAGTGAAAATGAATTTTGATCTCTTGAATTTTTATCTCTAATGGACCCACGAAGTAGGGTCAAGGGCATTAGCAATCAGAAAAAAGGTTAACGATAATACATATGTAATTCTGTTAGCTCAAATAAAAAAAATATGGTTATCATTTAAGAGTTATTGGCAGAATTTTTGTCACAGCATTGAAACTACTTCAGAGTTTTTTAGACTTCGAAAGATATTAGCTAAATTTTGGGCAATACCTTCACTGATCCACAAAGAGAATAGTGTTCTGATACCTTTGACCTTTGAATGTGGTAGACGAAGATTTCAAAGACCTTACAAGAATATCCATATATAAATGGGATTCGATCTATTCAGGTCACAGGTGCCAAATGATGATCAATTCACAAAAAAAAAAAAAAAAATAGATGAGCTGTGTGCCAGGTTATAAAGCTACAGATGGAACGATAAGGCTGAAGCGCCGGCGATAACCGGTCGAAATCAGTCAACATGACCTAATAGCCTTTGATGCCCTCTGCTCTTGACGACTCTTAGGCCAAACCCAAAGCCCAAAAAAAATAAGGAGAGTTCTAGGGATTAGGGAGTGAAATTATACGTATATAATCAGTTAGGTATCTCTTTAACCGAGTTGCAGAAGCGGCAAATATCGCTGACGTGGATGCCTGCTTCCAATATAGTAGAGAGGCACACCTAAGCGAAGTGCGCCCACTGTGGTACAATCTGAGAGCTCGTATTCGATCTCGTTCGTTCAGCGTGAAGTAGAACCAGTTGATAAGCTCAATAAAGTGCGAGAATTCATGGATGCCTCTTTCATTTAAATCCGCGAGACAAACAACGGGGTGATGATGAAATGAGCGTGCCCACGATAGGCCAGAACAGTGACTGAGGTGGTATTCCATTTCTCTCTCAATTTCTTCCTCGTCGCAGTAGCTTCGTCTGAAGTCATTAGCCGGCAGGCTTATTCTATCAACATCTACTTATACAAGCAGTGACCCGTAATAATTCCACTTACTTGCCTAAGTAGAGAGCGCTCTAACCGAACAGTGGAGCCTTTTTCTTAGAAGCTACTGCTATGGTCTGACAGCCTAAATCAGAGGTCCAATGAGTGGTTCTTTGAGCGTATTCCACTCTCTACTCTTAAATTCGTTTTAGAGCCATCCTCTTGGAGGTCTCAGATCGATTAGTTCTCGCAGTTGAAGGAATACGAACTTGTTGTCGAGCTCTTCCAGGTAGGTCTTAATTGAAATTCTTGTTCTCGCTTCCCTGGCTAGTCTCTCTGCTTTGCCATTTCTCACTATTCCCTTGTGGCTTGGAATCAACATTAATGGATAATATTGCAATATACAAGGGAGTATCTTTCTTCAGGCACTCGAAGTCTAGGCGATTATGTGGTCTCGAAAGATGAAATGGTCTTAACTAGTGCCAGTAGAGACGCCTACTCCTTATTTTTGTTAGTCTATTCTGTTCTTTGAGTTTTTACCCATCCTTTTATAGGATGCAGAAACATGAACACTGTCGAACAAACATGAGCAGGCTTTGAAGCTTTCGAGAGAACTATTCTACGAATTCGCGTAGATGATGAGTGCAAAATAAGATAAAATGAAGAACTGTACGATCTGTCCAACGACATGGGCATAGTTAGGCGCATAAAAATTCAACGATTGACCAAGCTCCTAGAGAAAGAAAAGATCCAAGTACCCATGAGTGAACTACAAACACAATGGAAGGATCAGGTGCAGAAAGACCTATCACCATTCGAGATGTAGTATGTACCTACAACTGGCGCAACGTCGCAAAGGAGAGAGGGAGGCAATTGGCGAAGTTTATTGGTCTCGGCCCAAACCGACGAACGAACGGTTGTAGAACGAAACAAGTAGTAGAATAAGCAGAGGAAGTTTATGTTAAGTTCAATAAAATTATACGAAAAATGGGAATACAGTGTCTTTTCAATAGTTTTCCACATGCAAAAAAAATATATATTTGGTGCATTTTAGCATCTCTTTTTCACTAAGTATTTCCAGCAATATTCTTATTGTTGTGTGCTGCTGCTGCTTTTTTAACTTTTAATCATTTTCTCATTTTCACTGTCGCTATGCTGTGATTATGCACCTTTTCTTCACAAAACTACATACATATATTTATACACGCACAATGTATTTTATACATACATACTAATGTATGTATGTATGTTTGTATGTGTGTAGGTATATGCACGTCCACACAATCATTATTTTATGCATACACCATCAT